CTTTGGTATATTTCATTGACATATGTTTTATCTGCTTTCTTTTCAAGGCTAACGTTTAAGTCTGTTATTTCAGAAGATGTATGTGTATGGTTCTTGTCAGCTTTGTCATCTAACTTTTCTTGTAAGTTTGTAATATTTGCAATGGTATGTGTATGTCCAACGTCACTTTTCCTGTTTAAGGTTTCTTGTAAGTTTGCAATATTTGCAATGGTATGTGTATGTCCAACGTCACTTTTCCTGTTTAAGGTTTCTTGTAAGTTTGCAATATTTGCAATGGTATGTGTATGAGTCTTTTTAGAATATTCTTTGTCAGCTCTTGTCACTTCACTTGACATTTTATTGTCAACATATGTTTTGTCCGCTAGTTCAGGATGAGTATGTTCTTTCGTTGCATATGTTGCATCTGCTCTGTCATGTTCTTCTTGAACTTTTTCAATGACATATGTTTTGTCAGCTTTGTTGTCAACATCTGCTTTCAAAAGAAGTTCAGATATAGGTTTCTCGTTTAAGGTTCCTTTTGTTGGATTTATACAAACAGTATGGTTCTTGTTGTCTTGAAACAGAAACTCATCTGTCATTGGGTTTAATGTCAGTTTTAAGCTTCCTTCTTTCAATGACTCAGATATCTTAGAATAGTTTGAAAAGTTTGTTGTGTTCTTATTTAGAGCTTGCAAAATGAGTTGTCGGTTGTGTTTTATTTCTCTCATAGACGCTGTTTCATTTGACATTTTTATTCTAGATAAAAAATGCTTCCAATAGAAAAGGAAACTTCTAGAGTTGCTACAACTAAACCATTAGATGAACTTTTTACGAATGTCGGTCAAAAGTTTGAGACAGAGACCGTAAAGCATGAAGGCTATCGTTTTGACTACCCGTTAAGATGGTTAAGAGACCCATCCGTCACAAAAGCTATTGGCTTTCGTAGAATGAAGTTCATTTCAGAAGCCATACATGGTTTCCCATTTACAGTCGGTTTGAAGTTCGATACTATAACAAAGAAAAACGTACGTATGAGAAATTTGAACAGGGAAAACTTTTACAAGTGAATTTGCTTGTAAACTTAGAAACAACTCTTCAAGCTTTTCAAGAAAAAATAAACGATATCTATCTCGAATATGCAAACCAGTTTAACATTGACGAAGGAGAGTACCATCTCGATATTATATATGACAGGAAAAATGCAACTGTTAAAATCGATAGAATAGAAGACCTTGGAGAAAACGTTTATATTTCTACAAAATATAACAACTTGGCATGGTATAGGTTTTTGAGGATGTTAAATCAGCCTGCAGAATATCCAGTACACCCGAACTTTTATGAAGTCGAAAACCCTAATGGAACATATGAAAATGTTTTCGACTCAGATGCTATTATAGTTCATGCTTCATTTTCTGGTGCACAAAACTCTTTTTTATGCTTGGCAAATGACTTTTACGAAAAACCTACAAAGCTATATGAACCACCGAGTGGAAGTATTTCAGACTTTCAAGTATGGTTTACTACAGATGGAAGAAAGAGAATAGTTCCATTATACCATGCGTTTTACTTAGAACTTAGTTTCATATACAACTACTATCGAACGGTAAAAATATAATTTTTTAATACGGTTGAGGTGTTGGATTTGGTTGCCAACTAGACTGTGGTGCAGGTTCAGGCTGTTGTATAACAGGAGCTTGTTCTTCTGGTTCAGGGTCTTTAGGTATAATACCAACGAACTGACCTACTCTTTTACCAATATTTTTGACACCGTTCCAAATTCCTCTTCCGACAGATTTTATTCCATTCCATATACCTCTTCCAACATTTCGAAAGAAGTTTCCTATTCTTCCAAAGAAACCCATTTTACTATATGTAAAAATCTAATGTCCACCTAGTCTCTTACGTTTCCTGTTGAGTTCCATAGCATTCTTTAACTGGAGCTCATACATTCTATTTCTCCTCTGGTAGAAAACATACTCTGGGTCAACTCCTGTGTTCGCGTCATCTGCATAAAGTTGTTTATATCCCACTTCAGGGTTTGTATAAAACTCTTTCCATCTCATATTTGCATACCATGGTGGCAAACCTAACGCAGCGTCATTTGACATGGCAGTTTGCATTTGTACATCTGTTGGCACTTGACCATAGTTTGCCATTGCAGTTTGTATTCTAACTTCATTTGGAATATTCTCTGGGTTTGGTTGTCCGGGTTCCTGTGCATTTGCTAAGTTCTGTGCGTCCATTTAATATTAGATAAAAATATCTCTTACGAGTACATATGCTGAACATTTGCAGACATTGGTTCATCTTCATATTCTCTGTACCTTTCTGCCACGTCAAAGAAATAAATGACACAATGGAAAAAACCTAAAACAAGTAGTCCTATTTCAAACCACATTTACCTACCAATAAAATTTCTTTGTTGTGACACTTTCTCCGGTTTATAGGACCTCTCTCATATTCTATCCTGTCATATCTAAACACATAGTCATGTATGTCCTCTAACCATCTCATAACGGTTTCCAAACCACTTTTATCGGATGTAAAGTAAAAGCATGGATGGTTATGTAAAACGTCTAAAGTTTCTAAAGAGTCTCTCAAAGTCCAGTCTACTTGGTATTGAAAATCGTATGTGTTATAGAACGGTGGGTCTACTATAAAGAAAACATTTTCCTTGTCTTTAAATTTTTCATACAACTCTGTCCAATGACATCTCACAAACTCTATACCCTCAGTATATTTTTCTATGTCCTCTTTGAAAACCTTTGTATAGTTAAGATATAAAACGTTTGACATAAGTGTTTCAATGTCATGAACTCTTATAGAACCACTATATAATAGTCTAGAAGATATACTATCCCAGTCTATATATTCTGCTTTTTTCAAAACCTCTCTGACAATATTTTTCTTATCTAATGGTATACGTTCCATGTTAGCTATAGGTATCTTTTCTTTTAACTCACTCAATATTTTGTTTGTGTCTGGTATATGTTTGAGACGGTTCATATAGTTGTCGAAGTCATTGCATATAATCTTTGAGTCAGGAAATACAGTATGGCACAAATGGGATATATAGAAACTTCCACCGAACAAATCTACAAATGTTAGACCATTCGGTAGTTTCTTAAGTTCTCTCAATAGAATATCTTTACATCTACTCTTATTTCCAAAGAAGGGTAACGGTGGTTTTGTAAAATTCATTTTATATATATATAATAAAAATGTTTTTACCTGAAAAGTGACAGAAAAGTGACGAAACATGAAAAAATATATAGTTTGTGAAAAGCGACATAAAAAGTGTCACCGGCTGGGGTTCGGTCCTCCTCTTGGGTCTTGGGCAAAATTTCTTAGGGCTAGAAGGGGCGCAGCCCCTGGAAGCCCCTCATACCTGACCTATGTTTTTGTCAAAAATCTTTTAGAAGAAGTTGCACCCAATTACTTTTATCGTATTAAAAACGATTTACTTCAAACAGGTTTTATTCCTTCAATTAGAATTCGCGAGCCTCGATTGACAGATTATAAAACAAAATTGAAAAGAGAAGTTCAATCACGTTTATACCAAGTATTAAATTTTGTTCAGAATCAAGAAGCCAATTTGAATCCATTAAGATTTTTATTGGAAAATGCTGAAGAAAAACTTTCTCAAATAAATGAGAAGATACAAAATTCAATTACATATTTAAGATCGTTTGAAATTCCAAATGAATTGTTAGATACGTATATGTTAGAAATTAATGAATTTTGTTATAATTCTCCAGGTTATATTTTAGAACATTTCGAAGAATTTTTAGAGGATTTCAAAGAAAAGAATAATTTAATAGACTAAAAAATTTATTATTTTTATTTATTGTGAATTTTAAATTGTCACTTTTTAAGTGTTACTCCCTATTGAAAGTGTCACTTTTTGGGTGTCACTTTTTCGGAAATTCTTATATACTCTGCTCTCATTGTGTGTGATGGACACTCCAGCCGCGAGAATCCTCTGGCATTGTTCCTTTTGGCAAGTGCCAACATCAAATTAATTGTTCTTCCCGCACATACAACACACATTTTACAAGTATTTGATGTTGGCATTGCCAAAAGATTAAAGTCCAAATTCACGGATTATCTGAGAGATTACATTAAGGCACCGAAGCAAGAGTTCAACAGCAATGCTGCAATGATGCGCTACGCCATTATCTACTCATTTATTAGCGCATGGCAAGAATCAGTATCATTAAGAACGGTTCAAAATGCTGCTGCCGCCTGCGGTCTTTGCCCTTGTTCTGTAGAAGCTCTCAAACATAATAAGTATGTTCGTGAATTGACTCCTGCAGAAAAAGAATTGCAAGAGAAAAGAAATTACCGTAATCGAAATCGTTTTAACATCAATGGTGAAGAATTGACGACGATGGACATGATTTGCGCAATTTCTGACAATATTAAGAAGAATCCTGCAAATCACAGATTTTGCAGGAAGCCAGAACAAGACACCAAGGAACGTTTCTACTTTTGGATTACAAACTATCTTGATCCCAGCACTGAGTTGTTGACAAAACTCCCTAATATGCCAGGTTATAGTCCAAATGATTAGGAAAATTTTCCAATTTTCCAACAAAAATTTTCCAATTCTCCACCAAAAATTTTTTAATAAAATATTATTTTACGGCATTGCCCGTCACTTTTTTCGGTACAAGGCTAATATCACAGTATATTGAAATTTTGAATTAGTTGTTTAATGATAAACTATGCGAGATTCTAACTCGTTTATTTAGTCAATATGTGAATATTTTCTATACAATTGAATGGTTAGTTTATTGAAATTTAACTTGTTGATTTACTAGATAAATATTCAATTTTCGTTAACGTAAATTGAACACAAATATTTTTGTTAGGACGATATTTATCCTTAATTCTCAGAAAGGTATTATTATCACAGTGACTAATATCTAATTTCATACATTTTTAATTGTTAAGCAAGATCCCTCTTTTGAGAATCTTCTCAATTTTATGATCATTTTTTTCCTTTCTCGTCAAGGTCAATGGAAAGCGAATCATCTAGCCTCTGCAGAACCAAGTTTTCCCCTGCTGAAGATGATATTCTCAGGAGCATTGTTCAGAAATTTGGAGCAAGAAAGTGGAATACAATTGCTCAATACCTGCCCGGCCGAACAGCACGTCAGTGCCGAGATAGATTTAGAAACTACCTTAGTCCAGATTTAAAGAATGGTCCATGGTCTCGGGAAGAAGATATCATGCTGATTGAAAAAGTTAAGGGTCCACTGTAAGGCCAAATAAGGCCTATCGTCGTCCCAAAAATATTGCTCAGGATGGTGTTTTTACTAAGGCCCAAAACTTAAAAAAACACAAAAAAATTAACTTTACTCTTTTGAGATCCTTATCAGATGTGCAACAATTTGATGCAGTATCGCAATTCGAATCCGATTTTTTAATGTAGATGTACTCTAACATTCTTGAAAAAATGCAAAATGATATTAATCAAGCTTTTCATTTCTGTATCATACACGAAACAAAATCATTCATTATACTAAAATTTATCAAAGTTTGAATAATGAAAAAAATAATATCTAAATTTTTACATTGAGTCGGTTATTGATATGGTCAATATTAAATCGTTTAAAAATGGGCATTAGCCAGAATAATACCCACTAAAATGCACATTTTTTAAATTTTATCAATTTGTTTTGGTATATCTTTATGATAATGAATAAAATTCTTATCTTTCATAAGTCAATACATAATTTATGCTGAAACACAAAAAATAACACGAAAATTTTTGGCCAACATTAGTAGTAGGATAGGAAGGGTTGTGTGACTTTTTTTGTAAACGTAAGAATTCATACAATATCGAGCGATTTTGTATCATTTTTTTTAACATATGAAGTAAAAAATGTATGATTCTTACGGTTTTTATTCTTACGTTTTTGAATAAATCAAGATTTAAATAATTTTCAAAATTGTAAGACATTTACACTCAGCCATACATAATGAAATAAAAAATAAACACATTAAAAATTAACATTAATTTTAAAATAATTTATTTTTTATCTTTTATAAAAGAAGCTATATATAGATGATGTCAGATATTCCGCGATTAATTAAACATTGTTTAAATCCTGAATGGAATCAATGGAGTCATAATCAAAGACCTCATAAACGAGAAAAAGAAATTAGAAATAATTATTTTCATGAATGAAAAATAAACTTTAAACATTCATGTCTTACATTTTTGAATAATTTATTTTTAATTCGTATGAAATGAGCGTCAATACTAACGACGTGAAAAAATGGGGATTCACAAATGAGGAAATAAAGGATATATTAGAGGAGGCGGGTTATGAGGTTGATAAATATTATTTTAGAAATTGTCAAAAATTCGCGGAGTTTTTAAATGAGTTTGATTATGATGGAAAAATGAATAAAGATGATGTTATAAATTTCTTATATCCCACATCTAAAAAGGGAAAAACTAAAGAACCTGATGTTTTCCCTGAATATTATGAAGAACGGATTAAAGATGATGAATATGATGAAATTGAAAGACTGGAAAAAATAAGAGATGAAATAGATGAAAAAATTAAGGAATTAAGAGAAGTTGAAAAATATAATGAAAATGAAGTAGAGGGTTTAATGAATATCCCAGCTTCAGAATCAGCAGTTCAGAAATCTCATGAAGAAAGATATAAAAATTATGTCTCAGAATCAACACAAAATTTATTAGATGGTGAAATAGATGAAACACTTTCAGAAGAAGGTACTAAATTTATTCGTAAACATAAGTTACAATTTATTGATAATGAAAAATACCCTTGTATCTTACTTTCACCCCCTCTCGATTCTGAGAAATTCAAAAAAGCTCTTAAAAACGTGACATATGCAACTAATACGATTAAGAAAGAAGATCATGATATTTACACAAATTATTATTTAAATAAATGCACAGGTGTTGATAAAGTTTTTGATTTATTAGATAAAATATCAAAAGAAACCATTGGAACATATAAAATTTTGTGTGATTGTGGTTTCATTGTTGAAGATACCAATAATGTTTCATATGAAAGAACAGCACCGAAGGAAGATGAAGTGGAAAGGTCTATACCATTCGTTATTAAGAATATAAAAGATATGAAAACGTATAAGCATTATATTTATTCATTTATTTCAGAAAAAATGGAAGCAACCCATAAAACATCTTCTCATCATTTTATAGCTATTCATACATTCCTTTTCAAAGTTGTGAAATTAAATAAGACAGGAATTAGATTTAATGTGTCAGGATATGCATTCTTGAGTAAATTAAAATGTATTCGTCACGTCGCAGATGATAAAAATTTATGTGTTCTTAATTCATTTTATGGGCTTTAAAAAATAAACTTTATTTTTTAATTTTTTATTCTTACATAAATGAACAAAAACGGAACAGCAAAAATGAATGATAATCAAATTAGAGCAGAAGGTAGGTTATTTAAACGCTTCTATAACATTCCTGATGGTGCTAATCCTAAAACTCGTAGAAGCTATTTAAATGAAGCAATAGATGCATATGAAGGGTTTGATATTTCATCAGAAAGTGAGAGATTAGCGAGAATGTTAAATGTTAATATTGATTTCTATTATTGTGATCCTCAACCAGAAGACGTGGACATAAATAAGGTAGACTTTCCATTAGTGGAATCAATAATGATAGATCCAGAATTTGAAACAGTAAATATTTTATTAACACAGAGTCCATGTGGAAAACTTCACGCTGACAGAATAACAGACGTTGAAGCACTCACCGGCTATAGAGTTTGTCCATATTGTAAAGAAGAAGTTTATTCTATCCGTGATGATCCAGAAAGGAAAAACCAAAGAAGATTTTTAAAGCATTGTGAGAAATGTAAAGAAAATAATGGGAGATTAATTCAAGACGTTCAATTGCAAAAGACACAGCAACCATATGCACCACATATTACGAAACAGAAGATATATCAGTGGTTATTAGCTCATAATTTGCAGGAATATTATCAACCGACAAGATATTATATTACTTTTGACTTTGAAACATTAGAGACTAAAGAAGAATTACAACTTTCTGAGTGTGCAACTTTGAACGCTTACTTAAAACCATTCATGGTATCATCAACGGTTAAATTAAATGATAAAACATATACGAGGAATTTTTGCTTAACTTCGAGTGATTCTTTTATTTCTGATTGGATTGAGTTTTTATTTTCAACATGTTCATTAGTTGCTAAATCAAATATTGAACAATATGAAGAATTAATGAAGTCGCAAACATTAAATGAAAAACAGAAGGAAGCATTTAAAGAACTTCTAGATGAGGAATTCAATAAAGTGAATATCATAGGTTTTAATTCGGGAAAGTTTGATTTAAATTTAATTCTTCGTGATTTAAACACTGCAAAATGGAAAATAAAATCAATGCTGGGTTCATCTTCACAATTTAAGCAAATCATTGTAAAGAAAACAAACGTTCCATATGAATTGAGATTTATTGACATCAGAAATTATATAGCGGGTGGGACATTAGACCAATTCACTCAAGATTTCGGAAACAATAAATCACGTGTTAAATCCTTTTTCCCTTATCAATTCATCACATGGGAAAATTACGAAGAAGAATTATATAAAGAGGAACCATTCACGAAAGATTCATTTTATTCAGCATTAACTCAAGAAACTATATCAGATAGTGATTATCAAATATATCTCAATGATGCTAAAAATTTTAAGAATAGATTAGAATATTTTATTCATTATTGCAATAAAGATGTTGAAATTATGATTGACCCAATGATAAAATTATTGAAGAAACATTTGTTTATAAAATTGATATGCTTCATAATCTTTCTTTATCATCGAATGCTTCAATGATTCGTTACGCTTTAGCATATAAAGACTTTAATCCTAATGAAAAATATCCTGAGGAAGAGATAGAATCAAGTTTTGAATTAACGAAAAAGTATTGGAAATATAAAATTGAATCATATAAGAAACAAGATGAAAAAGCAGAAAGGGATACTAAAAATAATGTTTCAATGGATGATTTTCAATACTATCACGATTTAATCCCTTCATCTAAATGCAAAATGTGTGGTAAAGCGTTTACATATGCAAATAAACCAACATTGGATAGAATCGATAATGAAAAACCACATACCAAAGAAAATTGTCAGTTAATGTGTTGTTATTGCAATGTCGTGAAATCAAATAAAGATGAAGATGTTCAACGTTTAAGAATCAATTTAAGAAATTACGCATTAAAAAATAATTTACCAATGACTTTAGATTCAGTTGAAGCTTATCACATTCTCCGTAATGGAATTACTGGTGGTTTATCAAATGTTCAACATAGAGTAAATCTTAAAGGAATCACGCACATTAATAAACTTTCATATAGTCCAGAAACTAAAACTGTATCAAATGAGGACACTTCCAACATTATGACTCATTTCGTTGGAGTTGACTTTAATTCATTATATCCTTCATCATTTTCATCTAATCCTCATGATTTCATTCAATATACTGACCATAAAATGTATATGCCGGGAAGATTGAATGGTGTTATCATTTGTGATACAGCAACAAAGAAAGCAAAAGCACTGGGAATAATTAAGAAAAAAATACTTTATTCGTGGCTGAAGTAAAGGGTCACATTGATGAAAAATACATTAATGATTACATAAACTTTTTACCGATAATAAGAAACTTAGATATTATCACAGATGAAAAAACAATTGGCAGTTTTATGTATAATTACATGAAATCAAACAATTTACCGGTTGACCAGAAACAGAGAAAATTAACTCAGTTAGCATCAACACACAACCAATATCAACCATTTTCTTCTTATTATCTATGGTATCTAATAGACAGATTTCATTTTATCATTGATGATATTCAATCAATTTTAACATTTACTAAAAACACTTGTTTTAATGAATTTGCGAACAAATTTATGAACGAAAGACAAAAGGCTGAATTAGAAGGAAATAAAGGAAAAAGTTTATTTTGTAAGATTTCGCTTAATGGATCATATGGTTACGATGCAATGAATACACAAAATTACGCAAAGACTAAAATGAATGCGCAGAAGGCACGCGTTGCATGTATGTCAAATAAGTTTAAAAACATAAGAGAAATAGGTGAAGATACATATCAAGTGATGCTTAAAGATAGATTTTATAGATGTGATACATGTTTACAAGAGGCATTCTTCACTTTAGATAATGCTAAATACTGGTATTTGGTTTTCATTTATGATTTTATGTATAAATGCATGGATGTTAATCGTTTTCATTTCATTGAAGGTGATACTGATTCATCTTATTGGGCTATTGCTGGCGACCCAAATCTTCCTAACACTCAAGCATTTCAAGCAATTGTTACCGATAAACAATTTTATGATAAAAACATTTTCAAATTCGCACCATTTGATTTCTTTTGTTTTGATGAGAAATTTAAACCTAAATTAAAGAATAAAGCTGAAGAAAAAGCACATGAGAAGAAGTTATTGGGTTTAGCAATTGAGAAACAAGGTGATAACATGGTTGCTTTATGCCCTAAATGTTATACATCATTCAACGGTTCAATTGATGGAAGTGATTTTAAAAAGATTGCACAAAAAATGAAAGGTGTTAGTTTAAGACAAAATAAGCAATTAACACCTAAAAAATATTTGGATATAATAAATGATAAAGTGATATTTGATGGTCAGAATATTAATTTACAACTTAAAAATGGGTCAATGACTCGCTTAACAATTGGTAAGACTGCATTAACAGGAGCACACACTAAGGCTGTATGTTGTGAAAATGGATGTTGTATGCCATTTATTTAATACAATTTAAAACTTTATTTTTTAATGAAATACCACAGAAGAGACAAAAGGAACCGTTAATGATGGTTTTGATTCTTGATCAAAGAGGTGGGCACCCTTAAACATTTATTTTATTTTTATATAAATGAATAACACAGATTTAAAAAATTTAATTGATAATTTAATATTTAATCAAAATTTTCTTAGTTATTATGATTTAAAAGCATAGCTCCAAGACTATGATAACAATATAACGGATGATGATATGGAATATTATTATTCATATTATGATAATGAATTTTTGAAATATCATGATAGAATAATTTCTAAAATTAAAGACAAAATTAAAAATAATGAATATACAAAGGGAAAAACTAAATCACAACTTAAACAATTGAAAGATTTCAAAAATAAAGTATTAACAGAAGAAGATATTGATGAATTATATAATTTATATAATCCTGAGCCCGCAAAAACAAAAGGAACAAAACGCCCAGTCCTTCAGACCATAAATGATGCACAAGCTTTAATTTATGATTCATTAGTTAAACCATATTCAGCCCGACTTTTAAATGAAGATCAACTTTTGGAATTCATCCTTCAACATAAACTCGAAGCGGGAAAGTATATCAAACCTTTATATACAGCATATTTAAAACAAATGAATAGAATACATCCAGAATTAATGAAGGGGAATGAATTCCAAAATCAAAGCAGATAAAATTAAACCACTTGCAACACCAAAACCTCCAACGACAGTACCTGCAATACCAAAACCTCCAACGACAGTACCTGCAATACCAAAACTGCCTCCTCCTTCAGTTAATCCTTCATCATTCACTTTATTATATCCATTTCAAACATTAAAGAAGCAAAAAGATTTTAAAAAGGGTTTCAAGATATTAAATAAACCAACTGACCCGAAAATTCAACCGTTAAAGGAAAAATTTAGTCGCCCTTCATTTGCACTATATCCATATTCATACGAAATCGATCATCTGGAATATTCAAAAGGAAACGTTACTTATTTATTTGCCATTAACATTAACACTAGATATTTATATTGCATTCCAGTGAAAGGGAAAACAGAACAGGAAACAAGAAGAGCTATTCAATACTTACTAGATCATGAAAGAGTAGATAATATCAGGGGTGATAGTGATAAAGGATTTCAGGCAACTATGATTCATTATTTCCCACAAATTAATTTTTACTTCTCATCTTCTCCATATACGTTTCATAATAAAATAGTTGATGCGGTAATGAGAACTCTTAGAGATGCGTTAGGGGTTAACTGTCGGATATACTGGGATGGAAATCATGACTCCATCATACAACAGTTAGTATATTATTACAATAATACATGGCATAGAACTATAAACATGAAACCAGTGGAAATGAAAAATGATATTTCAAAAGAATGGGAATATATTAGAAAGCAAATGGAAAGGTTGAATGATGTTAAACGTGAACAAATTAATTCGGGGCTCATGAATTTTAAACAAGGGGATAAAGTTTTGATTCATCTCGATTATGGAAAAACTAATAAATCAATGACAAAAAGAAGACGAAGATTTGACACAATAGCTGAATTTGTTAGATATATTAACGGCAATGCATTAGTTGAAGTTGACAATAAATTAATAGAAATTCCGATTTATTTTATTACTCCATTATATTTAAATAATATTTAATTTTTTTTATTTCGTAAGAAATGAGTGACAACGAAGCAGCCAAGAGTCCAGACGATGAATATAAAAAGAAACTAAACAGAATTAAATCAAAAATATGCTATTACAAAAAGAAGCCGCAATGTGGTGGGTTGAAAACGATGAATAGAGGAAGAAATAATCGAAAAATTAGAAACTTATCGTTCAATCATTAAACTGAGTGAAGCAAAAATAAAAGAATTTAATAGAATAAATAAATTGATTGGAAGAGATGAATTTAATAAAGATGAATTTTTAAACTCAATCCAAATTTAATTTTTATTTTTCTTTGACAACATCTCTCTTTCCATCATTACTGCATAACCACATTTTCTCAGTTTTAGTGGTTTGTTATTTTTAGCAAGTTCTCGCATCATTTTTATCGTTTCCTCCCTTGTTATGATTCGTGGTAAATTTTGAGCTTGTGGGGTATCCATTTATATAAAAATAAAATTTTGTTATCAGTTATTTTATCGTTAATGGTTTTCAGGTTATTCAGTTATGAATTATTTTTGAAGAACTGAAGGTGTCACCATGTCACCATGTCACCAGGTAATTTAACTTCTCTGAAAAAATGAGACAACATGACATTTTGACAACAACACAGGAGGATGGCAGTTATGAATTATTTTTGAAGAACTGAAGGTGTCACCATGTCACCATGTCACCAGGTAATTTAACTTCTCTGAAAAAATGAGACAACATGACATTTTGACAACAACACAGGAGGATGGCAGTTATGAATTATTTTTGAAGAACTGAAGGTGTCACCATGTCACCATGTCACCAGGTAATTTAACTTCTCTGAAAAATGAGACAACATGACATTTTGACAACAACACAGGAGGATGGCAGTTATGAATTATTTTTGAAGAACTGAAGGTGTCACCATGTCACCATGTCACCAGGTAATTTAACTTCTCTGAAAAAATGAGACAACATGACATTTTGACAACAACACAGGAGGATGGCAGTTATGAATTATTTTTGAAGAACTGAAGGTGTCACCATGTCACCATGTCACCAGGTAATTTAACTTCTCTGAAAAAATGAGACAACATGACATTTTGACAACAACACAGGAGGATGGCAGTTATGAATTATTTTTGAAGAACTGAAGGTGTCACCATGTCACCATGTCACCAGGTAATTTAACTTCTCTGAAAAAATGAGACAACATGACATTTTGACAACAACACAGGAGGATGGCAGTTATGAATTATTTTTGAAGAACTGAAGGTGTCACCATGTCACCATGTCACCAGGTAATTTAACTTCTCTGAAAAAATGAGACAACATGACATTTTGACAACAACACAGGAGGATGGCAGTTATGAATTATTTTTGAAGAACTGAAGGTGTCACCATGTCACCATGTCACCAGGTAATTTAACTTCTCTGAAAAAATGAGACAACATGACATTTTGACAACAACACAGGAGGATGGCAGTTATGAATTATTTTTGAAGAACTGAAGGTGTCACCATGTCACCATGTCACCAGGTAATTTAACTTCTCTGAAAAAATGAGACAACATGACATTTTGACAACAACACAGGAGGATGGCAGTTATGATGCAGTCCAAAAATAAAGTTAGTTTTAAAATTATTTTTATTTTTTTATTCCTATATAAATGACGGCAACAAACAACAACAGCAACTTTATCATTTCTGATGAACAAGTTATTGAATCATTAGCTGAGGAATTAGTTGTGGCAGAAACTAAAACCCTCAACGAAAGAATTGGTGAAAACAAGATTGATTTACATAACTACCTCAAACATGATGGAGGAAGAAGAAGGAAAACTGGTATGGCTTTATTAGTAAATAAAATTTCAAATTTAACGATTATAGATGTTGATATCAATAAATCGTACAATGATGAACTTAAAGAAACAGTTAGAAAAGACATTTTATCAAAACTTTCGGATAAAGATGTTATCGTTAAAACCGCTTCAGGAGGTCTTCACATTTATTGCAACACTAATTTCTTCTATGCAGTTTCGAACAGAATGATTAAATGTTATTCCTGCAATGATTATGATATTGACATAATGACTTCTATGGATGATTCAAAGCGTTCATTAGTGGTTATGGCTGATTCAAGAGTTCGCAAGAATGCAACAGAACCAATCAATACATACTCATTCATTCGCGGAAGTTACGATTCAACATTAACCAGAACAGTGAATGATATATTAAATGATTTGAATATTAAGGTAAGAGTTGAACAAAAGAGCGAAGAAATAAAGACTATCATGAATGAAAACAAAGATGAAAACATTGACGATAAACTTGCCCAGAGCATAGTTGATGGCATCAGTGATTTTGAAGTACATAATGACGGTGGAAACATGAATTTAGAAAAAGAAATAACATTATTCACACTGTTTCAAGCAATTAATTCGTTACCTAATCATTTAATTAATGAAGCATACGATAACGTTTATAACTTCTGCATTTTAACTGAAAATGCAAAAAGTAATTTTGAAAAAGCACGTAGTAGATATGCACATTTAATGACTTCTCCATTTGTTTTAGTGAAGATTCTAAAACTTTATCAAAAGGAATATTATGATGAATATGTTTTACCTTTATTACGTAAGCCAAAAATAACATTTGATATAAAACTTGATGACTCGTTTTTGATAACAGATATTAGACGTAAAGCTGAAAATCATCAGTATAAAAACAGTTCTGAAGTAATTGAGGATTTATCACGTGTAATCCGTTTTGTAGATTGTGGAAATAAATATTTCATTCAGAAAGATTACAACATACACGACAAAATGAATCAAATATCATTCGTTCTTCAGTCAAACATGAAAGAGTCACTCAAAATGATTAAATTATTTAAAGAAGAAGGTAAAACCATAACAGCATGGGATGTACTACTAAATCAATTGTCTTCATTAACCGTTAAGGGTGTTTGCTTTAAATCTGATTCCCCAGATGTTTTCTCAACGTTTCAAGGTTATAAATACAACGTTCTCGAAAAAGTAGATTACTCAAAAATTGAGATGTTTATGGATTTCATTAAAGAAGCCATATGCGATAATAACGACGAAGTGTATAAATACCTTCTCGGCTGGATTGCATCAATGATTCAACATCCTGGAATCAAGAATGAAACAGCAATTATTTTGAAAGGACTTCAGGGAACAGGTAAAAACAGATTCACGGACATTATTTCTGAACTTCTCGCTGGTTATTCATGTAAAAACATTACTGAAATAAGTGAGTTAACGGGTAATTTCAATTCAGTAGTTGAGAATAAAATGTTTCTTGTACTTAATGAACTCAAGAATGTAGGTGAAGACAGACTCGCAAACTTCAACGCTTTGAAATCAATTATTACGGATAATGAGATTAGAATTAATGAAAAGAATCAACCCAGAAGAACAGCTCAGAATGTTGCCAATTTCATTTTCGTAACTAACAACGTCTACCCTGTCAAAATTGAAGTTGGAGACAGAAGATATGTAGTTTTAAGGGTTAATGGTAAATTCAAGGGTCAATTTGATTACTTCAAGAATTTAATGGATTCATGCACAAAGGAATTTTATGATAATTTACTAACATATTTTATGCAATATGACCTTTCATCATTTAATGTACGAATCATACCGATGACTGAAGCCAAACAAGATTTAATTGAATTATCAACAAATCCTTTAGATGTATGGATAAATACACATTATGATGAATTGTGTGCAGGTATGATATGTAAAAATGCTCTATTCTGCAAACCATCAGACATGAAAGACAAGAATTTCCAAATGAGCATTAAGGATAAATGTGATAGGAAACAGAGAAGAATAGACGATAAACAAACATGGTGTTATGTTTTGAAAGAAGAAATGAAAGGATTATATAAACAGGTTGAACCAAACGATAATGAGGATTCATTTACCGACGATGAAATACCTGTAAATGATGCTTTATAAAGTATGATTGGAATTTATTTTTGCATTAATCCTCCTGTGTTGTTGTCAAAATGTCATGTTGTCTCATTTTTTCAGAGAAGTTAAATTACCTGGTGACATGGTGACATGGTGACACCTTCAGTTCTTCAAAAATAATTCATAACTGCCATCCTCCTGTGTTGTTGTCAAAATGTCATGTTGTCTCATTTTTTCAGAGAAGTTAAATTACCTGGTGACATGGTGACATGGTGACACCTTCAGTTCTTCAAAAATAATTCATAACTGCCATCCTCCTGTGTTGTTGTCAAAATGTCATGTTGTCTCATTTTTTCAGAGAAGTTAAATTACCTGGTGACATGGTGACATGGTGACACCTTCAGTTCTTCAAAAATAATTCATAACTGCCATCCTCCTGTGTTGTTGTCAAAATGTCATGTTGTCTCATTTTTTCAGAGAAGTTAAATTACCTGGTGACATGGTGACATGGTGACACCTTCAGTTCTTCAAAAATAATTCATAACTGCCATCCTCCTGTGTTGTTGTCAAAATGTCATGTTGTCTCATTTTTTCAGAGAAGTTAAATTACCTGGTGACATGGTGACATGGTGACACCTTCAGTTCTTCAAAAATAATTCATAACTGCCATCCTCCTGTGTTGTTGTCAAAATGTCATGTTGTCTCATTTTTTCAGAGAAGTTAAATTACCTGGTGACATGGTGACATGGTGACACCTTCAGTTCTTCAAAAATAATTCATAACTGCCATCCTCCTGTGTTGTTGTCAAAATGTCATGTTGTCTCATTTTTTCAGAGAAGTTAAATTACCTGGTGACATGGTGACATGGTGACACCTTCAGTTCTTCAAAAATAATTCATAACTGCCATCCTCCTGTGTTGTTGTCAAAATGTCATGTTGTCTCATTTTTTCAGAGAAGTTAAATTACCTGGTGACATGGTGACGTAGTGACACCTTCAGTTCTTCAAAAATAATTCATAACTGCCTTCCTCCTGTGTTGTTGTCTAAATGTCATGTTGTCTCATTTTTTCAGAGAAGTTAAATTACCTGGTGACATGGTGACGTAGTGACACCTTCAGTTCTTCAAAAATAATTCATAACTGCCATCCTCCTGTGTTGTTGTCTAAATGTCATGTTGTCTCATTTTTTCAGAGAAGTTAAATTACCTGGTGACATGGTGACGTAGTGACACCTTCAGTTCTTCAAAAATAATTCATAACTGCCTTCCTCCTGTGTTGTTGTCTAAATGTCATGTTGTCTCATTTTTTCAGAGAAGTTCAATTACCGGGTGACATGGTGACGTAGTGACACCTTCAGTTCTTCAAAAATAATTCATAACTGCCTTCCTCCTGTGTTGTTGTCTAAATGTCATGTTGTCTCATTTTTTCAGAGAAGTTAAATTACCTGGTGACATGGTGACGTAGTGACACCTTCAGTTCTTCAAAAATAATTCATAACTGCCATCCTCCTGTGTTGTTGTCTAAATGTCATGTTGTCTCATTTTTTCAGAGAAGTTAAATTACCTGGTGACATGGTGACATGGTGACACCTTCAGTTCTTCAAAAATAATTCATAACTGCCATCCTCCTGTGTTGTTGTCAAAATGTCATGTTGTCTCATTTTTTCAGAGAAGTTAAATTACCTGGTGACATGGTGACACCTTCAGTTCTTCAAAAATAATTCATAACTGCCATCCTCCTGTGTTGTTGTCAAAATGTCATGTTGTCTCATTTTTTCAGAGAAGTTAAATTACCTGGTGACATGGTGACATGGTGACACCTTCAGTTCTTCAAAAAATAATTCATAACTGCCATCCTCCTGTGTTGTTGTCAAAATGTCATGTTGTCTCATTTTTTCAGAGAAGTTAAATTACCTGGTGACATGGTGACATGGTGACACCTTCAGTTCAAAAATAATTCATAACTGCCATCCTCCTGTGTTGTTGTCAAAATGTCATGTTGTCTCATTTTTTCAGAGAAGTTAAATTACCTGGTGACATGGTGACATGGTGACACCTTCAGTTCTTCAAAAATAATTCATAACTGCCATCCTCCTGTGTTGTTGTCAAAATGTCATGTTGTCTCATTTTTTCAGAGAAGTTAAATTACCTGGTGACATGGTGACATGGTGACACCTTCAGTTCTTCAAAAATAATTCATAACTGCATCCTCCTGTGTTGTTGTCAAAATGTCATGTTGTCTCATTTTTTCAGAGAAGTTAAAATTACCTGGTGACATGGTGATGATGGTGTAAATTCAGTTGTTCTTTCAAAAATTAATTAATTATGAATACCTAAAAACCATTAACGATAAAATATATTTTTCGTCGTTTATGACAAAAATAAATGGTTCATTTACTCACAATATTTTTTTACAAAACAACCCCAAGCTTTTAACTTCTTTTCTGCAGCTTCTAATGCTATCTTAGCGAGTTCATATTCTCTAAATTCTCTCTTTAAATTTTCTTGTTCCCATTGGTCTAGTTCGAATGGAGAATCTCTATAACCATAACATATCTCACGTTCATGTTCTAATTGTTTTTCGCGCATTTTTCTAACTTCTTGTTCGAACAAAGGTTTAGCATTCTCTACTGTATCTTCAAGTTCTTCTTCATCTAATTTTTCATGAACTTTCTTGTCTATGGAGTCCATAATATCTTTGACATAAAATGCATACTTTACAGAGCACCATTCAGCAACAAAATGAACGAGGTCAGGATGTATGTAAATACCTTTGAATTCATTTATAACACCCTTTGTAAGCTCATAAAATGCTTGTTTTGAGGTCGAGCCACTTTTGGCTCCACCGTATTCGTTCATCCAAAACTCAAGAATTTCCTGCATTTTAGCACTATTGAGAAATCTGTTTAAATGGTTTAACTTTCCTGCTTCTCTTGCCATCTTTGTTGCATTAATGTAACCATCCTTGTCTCTACGTAAGACTTCAATACCATTATAAGTGCCTTTTGTGAATGTTTCGCCATTAGATTTGTTCGTGAATGTTTTTGCTTCGACTGACATTTCTGTTCTTACATACAAGATAAAAAATAAATAAAAATAATTTTAAAACTAACTTTATTTTTGGACTGCATCAAATTTTCGTAAATGTTGTCAAAATGTCATGTTGTCTCATTTTTTCAGAGAAGTTAAATTACCTGGTGACATGGTGACATGGTGACACCTTCAGTTCTTCAAAAATAATTCATAACTGCCATCCTCCTGTGTTGTTGTCAAAATGTCATGTTGTCTCATTTTTTCAGAGAAGTTAAATTACCTGGTGACATGGTGACATGGTGACACCTTCAGTTCTTCAAAAATAATTCATAACTGCCATCCTCCTGTGTTGTTGTCAAAATGTCATGTTGTCTCATTTTTTCAGAGAAGTTAAATTACCTGGTGACATGGTGACATGGTGACACCTTCAGTTCTTCAAAAATAATTCATAACTGCCATCCTCCTGTGTTGTTGTCAAAATGTCATGTTGTCTCATTTTTTCAGAGAAGTTAAATTACCTGGTGACATGGTGACATGGTGACACCTTCAGTTCTTCAAAAATAATTCATAACTGCCATCCTCCTGTGTTGTTGTCAAAATGTCATGTTGTCTCATTTTTTCAGAGAAGTTAAATTACCTGGTGACATGGTGACATGGTGACACCTTCAGTTCTTCAAAAATAATTCATAACTGCCATCCTCCTGTGTTGTTGTCAAAATGTCATGTTGTCTCATTTTTTCAGAGAAGTTAAATTACCTGGTGACATGGTGACATGGTGACACCTTCAGTTCTTCAAAAATAATTCATAACTGCCATCCTCCTGTGTTGTTGTCAAAATGTCATGTTGTCTCATTTTTTCAGAGAAGTTAAATTACCTGGTGACATGGTGACATGGTGACACCTTCAGTTCTTCAAAAATAATTAATTATTGAATAACCTGAAACCATTAACGTAATCATTAATTTTCGTAAACATTAACGTAAACATTTATTTCTGCAGTTCATCCATTACTTCATTACCTAATTAATTACAGACATAAAATATATTTAGTTCATTCAATGAACGCGGTACCATGCGAATACAGTCATAAATGGTGGCATGTAATCTTTACCCAAGCCTGTTGGATTTGTTGTGAAAGTGTGTGAATGATTACCTGCGGTTCCACAGAAAATACCTGTGCTTGAATCTACTGGGTCAGTTGTGATATCATATCTATTCATTCCCCATCTATCCGAACCCGCTGCAAGATTTATATAACCTCTTTTTGTTATTGAATGTGAATGATTACCTGTTGTGTTTGTAGTTCCTGTATGAGTGTGCGGTGGAAGGTTTGCTTCTTTAATTTTCTTCGAACCTCCTGCCGTCTTTGAATATCTAGCACAGTATAAGAATTTGTCTACAATCTGCTTCCATTCACCAAAACCTAAAACACTTGCTGGATTTGTTGAGTTCATTGATGTATAAATAGAACCAACAGGATATAATGTTTGAAGTATTTCATTTTTCATGCTTGTAATCACATCATTTACTTCCGACTTCTTTGCATAATTTTCATTAACATATGTTTTATCCGCTTTAAGGTCTAAACATCCTGAAACCCATCCTGTATCGGCTTTAGTTTTTAAAATCTTTGATGTCCATTCATGATACCATTCAACCCTTTCTTTAAGGATGGGCACTCATTAGGGTGATGAAAAAAATCAAGTCTAGCAAAGTCAATATATTAAAAACAGTGAAGACTATTATATAGCATTATAGTGCACAAGCTCAAATATTTAGTGATGCATTTCTCGAACTTATTTTATTTATAAGTTAACCTTGAAACATGAATTTTAGTATATCATGAGCATATTTTTTTCTAATTTTGCAATACTTATAATATCATACCAGGATTCATGTGGAAGTCTAATATTTGGTATATAATATTCTTACAATAAATGTATTAATTCAATTATATTCAAAATGATGGGTCGCAATTTTTACTGAAATTGCAAATTTAATTTCAACAATGAAATTATTGTTTAAAAAAAAATAGCACAACAGCAAGATGGACAATCATATATAGAATTATAATGCTCCATATAATGCTTTGATTTGATGCGTATATAATGTTATTTTTCGAACATCTTTGTAAAAAATTGATTTTTGTAATTTTTGAAAAAATTCGATTTTATTTCGAGATTTTCTCTATAGGTGAAGTATATTGAACAATATTCCTATGGGAGAAAATAATTGTAAGTATGAGTACTTTCATTAATACTATGGGTGCCATGGTTATCGCTCAAACGATCAAGTTATATCTCGATTGCGTAAATTGAAATTTTGCTATTTTCTAAATTCACGGCAACAACATTCTTTTATCCTGATCGTACATCACAATATTTGAATGTGCGACCATTTGTTCAAGAAACCGTCAAGTTATTCTTCATTTTTCATGCCGCGGCGAACAAAAGCAGTTGCAAAGCGTATAAAGAACTTAGTTCAAAGCGCGAAAAATAGGGTAGAGCCATATGTCGTCAACACTGTTGAATTTGTGCTATCTGTATTATTGAGCGGCGCTACATTTTGCCAATCAGAATTTCAATTCATGCTGAATAACATCAAAGTTCCGTCAGAAGCTACATTTCATCGAGTCCAAGAAAAGGTTGGTCGTGTTATCATAGAAGTTGCCAGAGAATCTGTTAATTATTGGAAATCTCGAATGAGAAAATGTTCGGGACTTTTGTTTGACGGTTCTTGGAGTCAGAGAAGAAATGCAATGTTTTGCTATGTACAATTTGTAGAAGAGAAACTCAAAAAAATTGTAGATTGGGAAGTGATATCTAAATCTTTTAAAAATTTCAAAGGTAATTTCAACGGAAAATCAAATGAAATGGAATTTGAAGGCTTAAAAAGAATGCTGAAGCGTTGGAATAATGAAAAACGTGTAAATTTTTTTGTGCATGATGGCGATGTCAAAATTGTTTCTACAATCAAAAATACGTTCAAAGGTATCAGAGAATACAGAGATCCTGGACATTTTCTTAACAATATACAGAAAAAGCTCAAACTGCCAGAATTCAGAATCTTATCTAGCATTTCAAAGAATTTATTGCGTTGGCTTAGGCAACTTCTCAATGACACACATATGTCAATTAAAACAAAGAAGTTTTTATGGTTGAATTCCGCTAAACATTATGCCGGAAATCATAAATTTTGTCCAGATCCTGAAAAATGCAAGATGATTAAACCATGGAAATATGCAAAAAATAAAACTGCTATAAAAACACTTAAAAAATTCCTCGAAGATACCGTAAAAATCTTTGATATGGTAAAAAAGATTCATTCAACTCAAGTAGTTGAATCGATAAACCATATCAAAGCAATGCTTGCTAATAAAAATATTAATTGGCATGCTTCTTGGCCAATTAGGATGGCAGTCACAATATTGCATTTCAATGAAAGTATGTTTGAAACGATTGTAGCAATAAGATACAGGTTAAATTTACCAACAATGCCAGAAATGATGAACAGATATTTCAGAATGTATGATACAACAAAAGATTTAATCAAAGCATTCAAAAATTCAAAGCAAGTTCAAAAAAGTTTGCGGCATTAAGAGCTATAAAGAGAGGTCTTCAAGCTACCGATGATCGTATTACTCTTAAATCACATAAATAATTATTAAATTTATTTCACCCTCAAAACATCATAATCTTGCACCTTCTTTGAATAAACACTTTCACCTTCTATTTTTAATTAATGTTTTTTAATTGTCCAAAATTTTTAGATTATATAAGATATAATTTTTTATAAAAGTATTATTTTCTAAAAGATAAGTATATATTCTTAATCACAAAACCTAGCATTTTATCATATCTATATATCAGCTTCCTAAATATAATACTCATATAGTTAGTATGATTTTAATGTTTTTGAACATGAAACGAAAATATGATTACAATCATATAACATAATGGAGTTATTGATATAACTTATATGCATGATACATTAAGAAGTCTTCCAACAATATAGATATAGTTGTAGATTCCTATGATTCCTTTTATATTGTGAGATAATAACATTTTTATGCTATCAGGAGCCTATGAGTGCCCATCCTTAATTTCATTATCTTTTTCATCAACATAAACCAAATTTGCCTTCTTCATTAACTCACTATCCACATATTCCTTATCCACCCTCTTCATTATGTCATTTAGGAAACCTTCTATGAATTCCTCATTTAAATTAAATCTTCCAATCTTCAAAACTTTAGGAAATGCATTTAATGCGTAATATCTTTGTTCTTCTGGTGGAATTGATGTTATATCATCCGTTATTCCTTTAATTTTTGAATTCATAAATAAAATTTCTTTTATATTTGATATCACTGCACCACCTTTGCAAACGAATTCGAAACGGTCATTTTTCAATACTATCTCCAAATCTCCATATTTCAACATTTGTGTTTGTTCTGCCGTCTTCGAATTATATGCATATATGGCATATGTAATGGTTTGAAGGACATGGGTGCTTTGCGCCTTAAGTTGTTGTGGTTGCTGTTGTTTAATCATTTATTATGATTTAAAAATAAATATTTAATCCGTTATCTCATCAGCTATTTTTTCTATTTGAAATTGCCATAATATTTCATTCATAAATTTTAAATCACAATCAAATAGGTCAGTTATTCTAAATTTAATATTTGATAAATCTTTTGAATGAAGAATAAATGAATTCCCGGATAATTGAAACGGATATGATAAAGAAAATGTGTTTAAGTTGATGGATAAAATGTTTTGTATTGATGGTAAGAGTTAGGGTCTAATGTTTGATGTGAAAATCTCATTGGGGTATTAACTTTATCACATTTGATTAAAATGAAATTGGAACCAGTGTCAGAATACAAAACATCCCCAACATCTTTTTCAAAATTTAATATCCCCAACAATGAACGAAGATAAGGAGTACAAAATTTAATTTTCAGCGGGAATTTAATAAGGTTATTTATTTCATCAAGTTCAAAAAGTTTTATCAGGTTTTGATTTAAAATTTTCTTCATACCATACGATAAATGATTCATTTAAATAACTTAAAATCATGTTAATATCCCATTTCGTTATCACATTATTTATATACATATCATACGTTTTTTCATGGTCATCTTTAATAAATGATATATAATCTGAAGGTCTAAAAGAATGGGATTAAATTTACCACTCACAGAAACGAGAGTAACATTATAAATTCCGCTAACTGTTAAATTTAATTCACAGTTATTATTCGAAATAATATTGATAATTGACGTTTTTATTACGATTAAAAATATGGTAAAGCGTTATTTTCCAGTGATAAATAAAACTAGAATAAGATTACCTCAAGAATTCATAAATTCAACGAATAAGAAATTCATTCATGTTATAAATTTTAGTGTTTTCAGAAAATATGAGTCAATGTCATATTCATCAACAAGTTATATTTCACTTCATTCAAATTTAGTTCAATCAAACCCATATAATGACCATTTCATAAGATTTTCAGATGGTATTAAAAATGTAATTGATAGATTAAAATATGAACAGATTGACAATATCGAATTTTTGGAATTTTGGTTTAAATATCCCGATGGAAAAAAGATTGAAGTTAAAGATAAAGCTGATACTATAACAAAAACAATTACAATGACCGATCCAGATAGTGGGGAACAAAAAGAAATAAAACAAACGATAAAACTGGTGAAAGGTCAATTATTATCGATTATGATTCAAAGGATTATTATTCAATAATGTTAATGCTTGAATATTAAATAGCCTTAACAAAGAATTTTTCAAGTGATATTTTATATTGCATCAACTATTTTATTATAAATAATAATTAATGTTAATGAGTTAGTTCAGTTTGTGTTCCGTTCTTTGATATCTTAATGTGCTAATATCCTTTATAGAGATTTATTTTTGCAACTGTTCCGCAGCATGAAACCTCATCATCTATGAAAAATTGAATCTAACGTCCGAATCTTGAACATCACAAAGAATGGCGATAATGTGAATTAATGATTCATAAGGTAAAATAATTAAACCGGATTGGTCAATTTTTATTATTGAATCATAATTATTAATTATTATATCACGGTAAATTTTCATTAATTCAGAATTAATGTCTATTTTATATGGGTTCTCGATGTTTGATGAAAGAGGCGGGGGTATGTTGGATAAGTGGGAATTTCAACGGGTTTTTACCGGGTTCAGATAAAATGATTGGGTCTCCATTCTCATGGTTTTCTTCATTCTCCTCATTCTCGGTAAGTCACGAGTTAATAAATTTGGTTGAGTTGCTGACCTTGTTAATTCGGGGCTAACATTAACTTTAACATTTTGAATAATTCGTGATTTATCATCATTTACGTTATAACCAACCGTAATCTCTGCTTTTGCGTTAGTGTTCTTTGACTAGTGAAACGTCTTCTCATTTATAATCGAATAAAAAAAAATATATTTAAACTTTTATTTTGCTGGAACTTTTGAATCTA